TATAAGAGCACCTCCCTTGGAAAAGGCATTATGCAGCGCCTGCTCAGGGTCGCGGAATTCCGTCCTGCCAGGCGTATTAATCCTACTCGTTTGGGGATTTATCGTGCCAACTGCCTTTAACTACTTCGAAATTATATCAGTACATCAAATAAGTAAATATCATGAGACCACCCCTCACTTCCAGATGTTCGCTGGATGACTACATTCTCAAGACGCCAAACTACTATCCCGATGGATTGAGGGCAACTGTTGACGCGTTTATGATGAAATTTCCAGACAGGTAAGTCGTACACGAAAAGCTCAATACAAGATCGGGTAATACTTTCCATAACGAATACTAAGGCCGGATCTCTTTTTTCGTATCCAATCAAGGTGTAACCATGACCTACTTGCGAACTGAAACTTCAACATATCTTTTGACTAGGACTCGATCCAGCGATACAGTTGGACTCTGCTGTAACTAACATCTATGGAGCGCCATTGATCTCCTCTATGCCGCGGTGTGACTCGAACCGGCCCCCCGGCCCTCTTGAGGACGAACGGTCGAAACGTTTAGGCATCAAATAAAGTTCCACCCTACAACCTCTGGTTTAGCGCAACCGAAGTAATAGAACAATCAGTCTGAGAGAGATCATTTCACTGCTTGGTCTCAATATAAATCTAATACCATCGCAATCAGGTGTAGCGTTTGTCAGAAGCACGGAAGAGCTTACGCCACTGCTGGATTTTTCTGCAATAATGCGATCATTGTACAGGTGTAAACGTCATATGGTATAGTACGTCACGGGTGGTTTTCACTTCACTCCTCTGAACTATCACACACACTATCCACTGTATGCTTGCTGTCGAATAAATCTTGTATTACGTGTTGGGATATACGGAACTATTTGGGAAGACACAGCGAAAACTCGCTCGGCCTGGAAGAGTGATCTTTTGCTTTAGGTCCTCAGTGGATTTCCAGTGTGCTATAGAAGTCTGCTCGAAGTTCGATCAAAACTGCACTGCAATCACGGTAAGCTATGCTCTTTGCCTATTGAAACTGTACCTCCCTTTCACTGTATTTGATTTCTGAACCCATGGGAGGGTCTTTTCGGATACTTTGGGGGCATATTCCACGACTATTCATTGGGTTGCTCGGAACATCCTGCCCAAGACCAATTATGGCTATATTAAGACTTTCATCACAGCATATCCTCGAATAGTCCTTCGCTCAATATAAAAGTATGACGGGATTACTGTAATTATTAACTGACTTGCTGAATTTTCAAAAAAAGACCTATTTGTCAATTACAACAATATACTAATTGCAGCCCCCGGATTGCTCTTCAACGAGTAATCACAGCAGAAGACGACGTCGAGCGGCACCCGCCGAAACTGATTTCATGACTTTACACGCGAACTCTCTTACAGTGCTCGACGCCGACGTCGCACAAGGTAAGGCATTTAGACTTCATTAGTCTAGATTAACACGAAAGAGTTTACGTACAGTGACTCTAATGAGAATCAGGAGTAAGTGCTGTCGTCATCCGGGCACTTGATTAGGCGGCCAAGGGTCGCGACGCGGCTGCGGCGTGTCACGAGCGCGGCGATCAGCTGTTTCCAGCCTATTTTAGCCATTTTCTCCCTAATTTACACTGTTTTGGCTGCTTTTCTCACGATTAGTTGTTCCTTGTCTTCACAAGGTAAATTATGATTGAGATTCCTCTGATTTTTGCGTACAATTAAAACAGTTAAGCAGACAATTGAACAAATACCTGAAAAAAAATCGCAAAAACACTCTATTGCAAAAAAAAACTCCACGTCCTAATGTACTTCATAAAGACAATAAAACAACTTACCTTGAAAAAATAGAAAATACAGTGAAAATTAGGGAGAAAATGGCCAAATTAGGCTGGAAACAGCTGATCGCCGCGGTCGTGACGCGCCGCAGCCGCGTCGCGACCCTTGGCCGCCTAATCAAGTGCCCGGATGACGACTGTATAACGAGTATATATGTGCAAGCAGGATCTGCAGTAAGACCTCCCAAAAAAGTATCAATTGGTAGAAGCACCAGAGCACGTCCTACGTTGGGAAGTCCTCAAGGGGCGGGTCGTATTTGGTTGTTGGAGGGAGGTGGTCGTATTTGGCCTCACAAAGAATTTTTTTGATAGTGAATGTTTTACCTGTTTCATGGGAGCTATCCAAATCGCTGGGAGAAAGCCAATGAGGAGAGAAGGAGAGGCGTCGGACTTGTTCTTCGTATGAAGGGGTTACGTATTCACTCTGAAAGAAATTCGGCGCACTCTACGGTTGGCTTGGCGACTTTTTGCGGTTTTTCGTGTTTCTCTAGTGCTATATTCCTCCCCACCGCCCAACGCCAAAATTTCTGAGAAACCTCGATGGGCAGGAAGATTGGGAAAATCGGCAAGAGAGACAAGGAGGGAAGACGGTAGGTAGAGTGGGGCGGAGGGGAGTCGTAGCAGAGGGCGAAATTGAAGGGGCGGCGCATTTCTGAAAATTTTCCCCAGTTGTTAAAGGAGTTCACAGGTCCTCGCAAGAGTTTTACTAAGTACCATTCGCTGCCCCTTCCAAGCCAACCTGCTCTGAGTAAAACAGCTCACATGGCAGACGTCTTAGCGGCGGTCACAAACCGTATGATGTCCCCCCCCCCCCACTGACAAATCGAGTCTCACTATTATTGTTAAGGAACGCCGTCTTGACTTATTGAGGAGAAATTTGGGAAAACAAGGAAGCAGAAAGATCTAAGCGGGGAGTTCCGAGATGTCCATTAATTTTTCGTATAATGTTCCTGACTGTTATAGATATTCCACCAGCTCGCCTGGGCTTAATCCTTGTCATGCTACCTTCTGTAACCGTTCTAATTCTGCCTATCCATGCGTGGCATTTGAGAGGTCCTCGTCTTCCGCCTCACATTCCTGAAGCACACTGTCGGCTTCCCTCGCCATCGCCGTTGCAAACACGCTACATCGGAGATGCAATATCGAAGTCGGATGAGTCAAGAATCAGGACTATATCATGTTGACGCTCGCATTTATTCATTTGAATTGTTACTACAATAGTATAGAACCATCCACGATCCTCATGTATGTACTATAAGATTTTCTTCAAAATGATAACGAAATATTGAAGTAATTTGTCACAAAGTTTATCCATAATTTTCCGGTACCTTTCATGAATCTACTTTTTTGCAAAATTTATTTCTTGCCTTCTGAGCTACATTCCAGCCTCTTCAAGCCTTGTAGTCATATTGCAGTTATTTTTTTGACAACTTGGATAAACTACCTAGAGGAGGGAATCAAATCGCCGAAATTTCAATGATTACATTTGGAAAATTCCGCGGTACAGTAGAGCAACAGAGCAATAATTATAGCAGTAACCGCAACAACCTAAGAGATATGTGAAAAAAATGAAAGGCCGAACCTGGCACTGATTTCCTAGACCAATGAAAGTCACTGAGGATGCAAGATTTAATGGAATTTCTAGAGAAATTTATCGTATCGAATCGGTGAGCGGAAACCTCTCAATGGGAACGATCACTGCGCTTGATTTACGCAATACTGCGAACACTGCGTTGTTTTACGCAATACTTGTTGACCGTACAGCTTGTTTCTCCATTCACAATTGATATCGTCACAGACTGGTGGGGCGTGTCAAGGGAATTCAATGAAATCCGTCGGGAGTTTTCGCCATTGGTTACTTTCGAATTGAACCGGCTATAGTTGGTAGAAAGCGCGGCGGCTGCTGCGCTCACTCCGAGCTTCCTGACACCGCCCCAGCCGGTCTGCTACATCGAGTAAAAGAGAACTATAATATAGCGACTTTTCCAAAGAATATGAGCAAAAGAAAAGTTGATAAGTTATTTTTGATTTAATCGTATTTGCTTCAATAATATTTTTTAATTATTCTATTAATCAAAAAATCAATATCACAAAAGCACTTGACAGTATGTGTACCGTTGTGCTATTGAGTTATTTTATTTCGTGATATCACTTGAGCAGACTGTCATTGATTTCGCCTTTGACTGGCCTTTCTAGATGTTCCGTGATTCCATTATTTGCCTTTTAATCGGGTATTTTATGCATTCTGCATGTCAATAAAATGTGCTTTACTTGATTTCTGGTAACTAACTATTGTATTGTTATTGTTCAATAAAGGCTGATTGACGCTTTTCGTCTACAGTTCAGATGAAAATGACTTTGGACTAATATTTCAAAATTTTCGATGATCCGTTACAAAGTGAAGGTTTTACATGAGATCCGTTGGAAGCTATAAAAAAATTAAGCAAGTGGCAGGTAACACGCAGTGAATGAGGGAGCAGACTCAATGGGAGTACAAAAAGCACTTGGTTCTCGCGCAATTTTGAAAAAGTAAGATAAGGGCAGTCATTTGCTCGGAAAACTGCTACCAAAAAGAAAATAGCTTCGAAAAAGCTCATTAGGATAAAGTCCGAAAGCGCTGCAAAACTTGTGAATTTTTGTGAGAATTTCTCGGGGTACGTGCAGGTTAAACAGCTCCAAGGCTGAAAGGTTTGTTCATTGATCACCATCCTGTGGCAGCACCCTCATCGCGAACACAGGGAAAACAGCGGTCAGCAAGTAAACAAAGCAGCTGCAGCATCTTGTCCCACGCATCTCCGACCTTTTTGCAAAGCATATTTCGGCCAATAAGACGGGTACAAACTGTGGGCGCTTGGGAAAAGACGCAGCTATGCGTCTTACTCTCCGGCCGTGGGGAGAAACGCGGCTATAAAGAAGCCAACAAATCAAAGAAATCGGACGGGCTTTTGATTTGATCAGCCAGACAGATACTTGATCAGAAGTTTAGCAATAGTTCTACTTGCGTAGTCCAAATAGCTTTACTTGCGTAGTCCAATGCTTTGATTTTCTCGGAGACTTTCAATTAACGAAAAGCTGACTAACATGCGAAGGGGAACGCCCTTAGGACACTTCACTCGACTGGGATAACTGACCTTTAGCACAGTTCATTCCTTTCCCGCTGTCTCAAGTAGGACACTCTTCAACCTGCAGGGTCAACTTCACCTACCTTCTTCCGCCTACTTGGTGGAAGAAAATCGTCGACTAGTACAGGGTCCATCACCACAATAAAATGTGATGCAAATGGTGGTACGTTCGCAGTATTCCTACTCCTCTTCACCTGCTCCTCTTCCTCCACAACCCTTGTAGCGAAGCCAAAAATAGATTGCTCCATTGAAGGCTCGAATAAAACTCCTTGCATAGGATTCTTCAACCATGTCGGGCGCTGATGCAGAAATTGCAGCTGATAATAATTGAAAGGGCACAGTTTGGCTTTGGGCGCCGGAAGGTACTCAGATTAATTTGCACGACTACCTCGTGAGGACCTGTGAGCCGATGTGAACAAAACGATTAATTAGAAAAACTTCACAGCTTTATAGGTGTTGCCTGACCGAAGTGGGACCTGTTGGTCAAATCAGCCAACGAAAGAAAGTCGCAAAAATGCAAAATGCCCCCTTTAGCCAAACACAGTCAAGGAAAGTTATGACAGAGTGAAAAGACATTCCCTTCGGAAAACTTCTTTGTTCTGAGTTCATTTCACTGAAAAATCAGGGGACTAAATTCATATTCAATAGGTTTGTCAAGAATCGAGACTTGTCACATATTTCCCCTTACTATTAATACATTACGTTCAAAAAAGGAAGAAATCATCAGTAGGTTCCTTGCAAGGGCAATGCAATTCTCTGCAACAGGCAGGAAAGTCTACATGTCTTGAATACCCAGTCAGACCTGTTGAACACCACAACTACTCTCTTCTACTCGTTTACTATGATAACCTAGGTGTTTGCTCGAATGTTGACCGCAGATAACACTGAACGCGATAAGTGACACCAATCGATTGCTGCCCACATTCATTTTACTCCCATTTTCACAACAGACCTCACTTTTCTTTGGTTTTCTTTCTATTTGCGATTTTCCGAATATCGATTGAATCAAGCACAATTCACATTCCACTGATAGCGAAACTCCTGAAGAACTTCGCTACGTGCGCAATCTTTTTTTTCGGCACATGCCTTATTTGCCTTGGTATATAATAGAT